CACTGAATCAATCCACCTCATAGAGGGTCTTCCCCTCCTGCGCTGTCCCTCCACCCTCCCAAGCATGATGTCCCTCTCCAAGGACCTGTCTCTCCCCACAACATGTCCAAAGTATGTTAGACGAAGCCTCAGAATCCTTGACTCTAAGGAGCTGCCCGGTTTAGCCCTTTCCAGGACAAATCTGTTTTCCTAGCAGTCCATGGTACCCTCAATACTCTTCTCCAGCACCACAGCTCACTTAGCAATTTAACCATGTCAGTATGTGAGGAGTGGGCATAATAAATAAATACTAAGTACATAAAGAAGTATGAGTATTCAGGTTATCCATCTCCTTAAGATTTCTATGTGGATTTAATGAGTTCTTTTATGTACCCTCAGTGGGCTCTGGTGGGTTAGTGGTAAGAAGTTGTGCTGCCAACTCAAGGGCAGGTAGTTCAAATACACCATCTGCTCCATGGGATAAATATGAACAATCTCTTGCTATTTGATTCACAGTTTCTGAAAACCCACTTGGAGGGTCAGCAATTGAGTCAATTCAAACTCAACAGTACATAGCAACAACATGTAGAGTTGGGGCCTGGCCCATAAGAAGTGCTCATTAACTATTTATTTTTGTGATTTCTCCATCAGTATACTGATCCTGTGAGAGGGGGTATTTAAAGGTAAGGACTTCTTGGGTCTTAGAGAATTATCTTTGGGTTTGTCTGCACATTGGTATCACCCCTCACACCCCTCCACCCCTGCTACCCCCACCAACTTGCTGCATGTTTACCTTCTAGTAATGACAGCAACATCACCACCATGTCCTTCTGTAGATCCAGCAGCTCCTTCAACAGGCCGATCTGACTCGAGTCCTAGACACCCCACACCGTAGCAACATTAGAGCTGGTCTCTGCAGAGAGGCCTTCCCATCCCAGCTGCTCCTGTTCCTCCTCGCCCATCCAGCAGTGCCTTCAACCCTTCTTCTTCCCTCCCTCTTACCTCCAAGGGGACCAGAGTCCAGACATGTTCCTCGAAAGCAGGGAAGGGGGCAGAGAGACAAGATTGGGGGGGATTGGCAGTTGAGGGGCAGCAGGCCTAATAGGTGATTTGCAGTGACAGAGAGTTGACTAACAAGGAGGACTGGAAGGAGCATAGGACTTGTAGGGAAGACATTTGGGGCAGAGAGAGACAGAGACAAAGCTGGGAATGAGAGAGAGCCCAGCACTGCCTTCAGCCCAGGGTGGATGCTTGACAGATGTTCGTCGAATGAATGTGTGATGGAAAAGAGTGGGACTCTGGGATGAAGAGGAAGGCTGGAGGGGTCATGTGGTTCTGGGTAAGGCAGCTGGGGACAATGTGGAGTCCTACTGCCTCCCTTGTCACAGGTCTCATACAGAGCCACAGAATCCTCTAACACAGTTCAAGTTCTGTCTCACGGTCTTCTCTTTGTATTATGTCGAACCACTTAACTGTCAATATTCAGCCATGATTTTATATCTATAAAATGGCAATGCCATATGGATCCACCTAATAAAATGGAGGTGGGGGTGATACCAGATAAGAGTGATATAAGGTTCCTTTTCATTCTAATGCTGGTTCTAAGAGTTTCTGGTTCTGTTCACAACATACTTCCATGGTCCCAAAGCTCATAAGTCTAAGACTCCAGCACCCTAACATCTCAAGAGCCAAAGACGGATAGATGCGTGTGGTCTGTGAATGTCCATGATCCAGTCCCCCTCTTAACACTCTTCAATTTTCAAATGAGGCAACTCCATGCCACTCTGGCAATATAAGGCTCACTTCAACTTCTCAGCTCTAGAGATGAATATGACCAAGTCTGGACAATCAAGAGCTTTCCTCTCTCTAGCCAGAGAGATTGGTTCCGGGACGGGCATGTGAACAACACAGTCCACTCAGAGAGCATGGCAGGTCTTGTGTTTGGAGCTTTGAGGAAAGAATCTCTTCCCTCTGAAGCAGCTAAAGTAATGAGTGAAAGTCTAAATGGTAAAAGATGGGGGGAACCATCCTCCCTGCACTAGGAAGCATCTGCGTAGGAAGAAGCCAGAGATGGAGAGAGACATGTCTGCCTAAGCCATGTCGGGAATGTGTATGGACAATGTTCCATTACCACCACATTTAAACCACTAATTGGGATTGTTTTTCTGTCTCTGGCAACCTAGAGCTTGACTTTGGCTAACGCCACACCACAGGACTCAGAAGTCTACACTATAGCATCAACATTATCTGCAATTTCAGGATTTCATGAGCAACACAACTTCAACTGCACTGACACTGCGGAATTGAGTGTTCCAAGTTCTACCCCTTGTAGAAAGTTCAGTGACAACAGAAAGGGTGATTGTTCCAGTGATACCTTTGGGTAATTTACAAAAAAAAAACCCTTTTCTATTGGCAAATGATAATATATTGAATATAGCCATCTGCTGAGAAACTAATACTTATGATGTCTTGGACTTAGATAAGGGTCCCTGGTTACGTAGTGGGCTAATCAATGGAAAGGTTAGCAGTTTGAAACTTACTAGCTGCTGTGTGGGCAGTCTGCTCCCTTTAAGATATGTTGTTGTTATGTGCTGTTGAGTTGCCTGTGTGACCCACAGTGACCCTATGTACAGCAGCTCTGAAGCCTGCCCTGTCCTAAGCCAGTCTCGCTAATTCGGACACAGCAACCCCTGTTGCCCAAGTAATTGTATTAATCCACCTCATCTGGGGTCTTCCTCTCCTGCGCTGCCCCTCTACCCTTCCAGGCATGAGGTCCTTCTCCAGGGACCAGTCTCTCCTGGCCATGTGCCCAAAGTATGTGAGAGGGAGCTACAGCTTCCAAAAAGAAAAAATGACCTCCAAAATTGATGGAGGGTTCCCACGAGTCAGAACTGATTCCACAGCAGTGGGTTTAGGTTTGATGTTTAGAATGTAGATGAAACCCTGGTGTCACAGAGGTTAAAAAGTCTAGTTGCTAACTGAAAACTGTTCAGACCCACCACCCCCTTTGTGGAGAAAGAGGTGGCAGTCTGTTTTGTTTCAATAAAGATTTACAGCCATGGTGACTATATGAGGCTGTTCTCCTGTCTTATAGAATCACAGTATGAGTCAGCATCTATTGGGCAGCAATGAGTTACAGATAGGATGTGCGTTAGGTGCCCTGGTGACACAATGTTTATGGAAAGAAGCTCAGCAGGAAATAAATCTGGCAAAGCCCTGTGAGGCAGTTGTTCTGTCATAGAAAGTCCCATGAAACAAAAAAATGGACTCCAGGGCACCTAACAAGAAAGAATGCGAATGGCATTGCTCCGTCTTGGTGCCTCGTGCACGACCTGCACAGAGCGGCTTGGAATACATTTCCCGTTTGGGGCCAACAGATGCAGAGCAAACAAATGAGCTGCATGTGAGACACAAGATCACATGCGGGTGTGGCTGAAGGTAGAGGGGCACAAGGACTCAGACACAGAGGAAGTACAACAGGAATGACTAGGAGGAGGGCGTCTGCTGTGAGCATAACAAAGCCATTAAACCCTCCTTCAACTCTATGACCTGGTCTGCAACTGTGTCCCATCGCACCCAAAAAGCTGTCGGAATCTTAGAGGACCCCACCAAGAGAAAAGAACATCAACCAATCACAGCAGAGATCTGAGCTGGGGCCAAGTGATTAGACCAACAGAAAATGTGAACCGGCAACCAGCTGGACTGCTGGAGGCAAAGGAAGAGGCGGGGTCAAGCCAGAGAGGAGACGCTTTTAGCCACAGGGAGGAAACCAACCTGGAACATGCCAGAAGCACTTGGGTAAGAAACCGACCAATGCGGGAGGTGGGGACAAGACTAATTCAATCCGAGGCTACCCAGAATCAGGGGGTGGTGGGGGGGAAGAAGGCAGAGTCTCGAACCTGAGCGAGTTTCATCATCATGTGGGCAAACACGTGCAGGAATCCCACCACGGCGTCCCAGAGGCGGCTGTGCGCCAGGCTCTGCTGGTTCCCGGTGCAGGGGCCCTGGGGAGCGGGAAGCTTCGTGAGCGCCGGGCCAGACGCAGGACGCGGGGCTGCTCCGCGCCACGGTGCCTACCTGGATGTACTCGGTGAGGCTGTTGAACACTTGTTTAGCCACTGACATGGCCTTGGAAAAGTTCCTCTTGCCCTGCTCCTCAATGACATCCTTGCCTGAGTAGTACCAGTAGAAGTCGCTGATGGACTCCTGCGGAGGGTGGGCAGGATGTGAAGGGCTGCAGGAGCAACTATGTTTCTAGAGCCCCCACCCACGTTCAAGCACAAACCACCCCTAGTACATTCACATGGCTCCCCATCAGCACCTGCAGACGCAAGAGATAGTCCACTGTGCAGATGATGATGTTGATAGTGGTCGTGTTTCCGGTCTGTGTCCGCAGGTAGTTCTGGAAATCTAGGGAAACGGAAAATTATTCATTAACTGAACGCCTGCCTTGAGCTAGGGGAGGGCAGTGGGCCATTCATTTATACAGTAAGTATTGCTTGCCTGCTATCTATCACAAGATCCCAAATGGTGTGGGGTAGTACTTAAATGTATCGAGCTGTTAATGGTGGCAGTTCCAATCTACCAGTTGCTCCACATGCAGTCTCCCTGTTAACAGCCTTGGGAACAAGAGTCACCATGGATAGGAACCGACTCCAAACACAGTGTGTAGTGAATGCTCAAAAACCTTCTTGCCCTTGAGTCAGAAACGACTCCTAGTTGACCCTCCATTGGGTTTCTGAGGCTGTAAACTTCACGTGCGATTACCCATTGTTCTCCCTCGGTGGATTCTAACTTCCCAAGAGGCTGCGGCCTTTGGGTTAGTTGCACAGCTCTATAAGAACTTTGCCACCAGAGCGTCCTACTGCATGCATTTTGCTGTTGTGTACCATCTAGTTGGAACCGACCCACAGCTGACCCACTAGTGGGATTTCTGTGGCAGTAAATTCCACAGAAAGATACTGTGAAGGAGTATGCGAGAAGTATGCAAGATGGCATACAGGACAAAGCACAGCTAAAGGGCTCCTTGGAAGCAAAGATGACAAAGCTTCATCTCACATACTTTGGGCATGTTAGGAGAGGCTGCAAAGGAATATCATACACACAGTATTTCAGAAGAAGATGGAAGATAAAGGAATGTATTTTTGTTGTTATGTGCCATTGAGTCGCTTGTGTCTCATTGCGACCCTATGTACAATAGCTCTGAAACCTGCTTTATCCTGTGCCAACTTTACTGTCTCTGACACACCTACCCTCATTACCCCAGTCACTGAATCAACCCATCTTATCAATGGTCTCCCTCTCTTTCTCTGTCCTACCCTTCCAAGCATGATGTCCCTCTCCAAGGACTGATCCTTCTTTGCAACATGCCCAAAGCATATCCAACAAAGCCTCAGAATCCTTGCCTCCAAGGAGCACTCTGGCTTCACCCTCTCCAGAACAAACAAACCTGTTTGTTCTCCTGGTTGTCCATGGTATATTCAACACTCTTCTCCAGCAAAATACTTGTAGCCTACTCTGTGCCAGAGGGTACTCTGGTGGCTTAGTCTGTAGAGAGTTGCTCTGCTAACCCAAATACTACAGGTGGTTTAAATCCACCAGCAGCTCCACAGGAGGAAGATGCGCAATCTCCTCTTGTTGCGATTTATGGCCTTTGAAACCTAGTAGAAGGTCAGCTATGAATTGGAACCACTCAATGGCATTGATATTACTACTTCCAGATGTGATGAAAGGTAAATTATTTATTCATCCTCCTCACCTCAACAAATATTTAAGAACCTAGTAGATACCAGGAGGAGATAAGGAGAAGTCATTTATCAGACAACTATTTCTTAAGCACACACTTCATGCTAGCAGAAGGTGGAGTTTGCTCACTTATTCTTTGACCCAACCAATGTACCAAGCACTCACAGAAGGGTCAGGTACCCTCTGGCCCTGGGGATTTAGTAGGAAAATACAAGATGTTTCCTGCCCTCTTGAAGCTTATAATCAGGGGCAGTAATCTTATATTTGTGACTCAGTGCATGCTAATAATCTTATATCACATATAATCTTAATTTATTATAATCTTATATTTAAGACTCAGGTCATATTTAACCAGACATTATATGTGTGTATAGTTGAAACAGGAGCCCTGGCTTAAATGTTCGACTTCTAACCAAAAAGTCAAGCTCCACAGGAGGAAGATGGACAATCACCTTCTGTTAAGATTTTCAGCCTTACAAACCCAAAGGAGGGTTTGCTGTGGTTTGGAAATGACTTGACTGTAATAGGTTTGGCTTTGAGGATCCCTGAAACAGAAACTTCACATACCCTTATATATGACATGCAGTTCATCATTACCCATTGCTGTCAGATCAGAGCCTGTTCATAGTGGACCCTCCAGTAGGTTTTCAGAGGCTGTAAATCACACATGAGGAGCTTGCCCACTCTTCTCCTTCAGAGCCATGAGTGAATTTGAACCTCCAGAGTGACACCAGCTTTGAATTAGGAGTGCAACTCCCTGTGGACTACTCCCCCAGAGCTCCCTTCTTTCTATATGACACGCATCCTGGTGTTTTCTGGTTTGTCCTGTTCTGTTGTTGTTAGGTGCCTCGAGCCACGGACAACCCACAGTGACCCTATGAACAACAGATCTGCACCCTATTCTATCTGTGCCACCAGAGCTCATTGCAGCAGTCACTGTGCCAGATGACACACTGGATTGACACAGTTCTATTCTAGTTAATTCTAAAAGAATTGAGTATAACCCACTAAATTAGTGAGTCTTGACCTTTCAGTCTTGACTGCATATTAGAATCCCCTGAGGGATTTTATGCTCAGACCCCACACCCTGTTATTAAGTGCCACTGTGTCAACTCTGACTCAGAGAGACCCTCTGTACAAGAGTGTGTCTTGCCTAATCCTCACAATTGGTGCTGTGCTTACACCCTTTGTTGTGATCACTGTATCAATCTACTTACTGGAGCATCTTCCTTCTTTCACTGACCTCTGTTTCCCAGCATGATGTCCTTCTCCAGTGACTGACCTCTTTTGACACATGCCTTGGGGTACGTGAGGTGAAGTCACTATCCTTGTTTCCAAGGAACATTCTGGCTTCACTTTTTCCAAGACAGATTTGTTTATTTTTTCCACTAGAGACTAAACATAATAGATTCTCCGAGAGTTTGAAATCAGAGCTTCAGTAGAGCTGGTGTGCAATTAGCATGAGAACTTGTTGCTGTGTTGCTGTTGTTATGTGCCATCGAGCCACTTGCGACTCATAGTGAACCCATGTACAAGAGCTCTAAAAGCCATTCTATCCTGTGCCAACCTAGCCATCTCAAACGCACTCATTCCCACCACTCCAGTCACAGAATCGATCCATCTTGTTGAAGGTCTTCCTCTCCTGTGCCAACCCCCCAACTCTGTCAAACATGATGTCCCTCTCCAAGGACCAGTCCCTCCTTGCAACATGCCCAAAGTATGTCAGACGAAGCCTCAGAATCCTTGACTCCAAGGAACATTCCGGCTTCACCTTCTCCAGGACAAACCTGTTTGTTCTCCTAGCAGTCCATGGTATATTCAACAATCTTCTCCAGCACCCCAGCTCAAAGGCATCAGTTCTCCTTCTATCATCCTTATTCACTGTCCAACTCTCTGATGCATAGCACGCAACTGCAAAGACTATAGCCTGGATCAGGCACACCTTAGTCTCCAGCCTGACATTGTTGCTCTTCAGTACTATTGAGAGGTCCCTCACAGCTGACTTTCCCAATGCAATTCATCTCTTGATTTCCTGGCTGCTGTTACCAAGAGTGTTGATTGTGGAGCCAAGTAAACTAAAACTGTTAACAATCTCAATCTCTTCACCATCCATATTGATGCTGCCAATTGGCCCATTGGTGAGAATCTTTGTTTCCTTGATGTTGAGCTTCAATTCATATAGAAGGTTGCAGTCCTTGACTTTCTGCAGCAAGCACTTCAGGTCCTCCTCAGTTTTAGCAAGCAGGGTTGTGTCATCTGCATAATGCAGGTCGTTGATGACTCTTCCACCAATCCTGATGTCATATTCCTCCTCGTTCAACCCAGCATCTTGAATGATCTGTTCTGCATACAGATTGAAAAGGTATGGAGACAGAATACATTCCTGATGGACCCCCTTATTGATTTTGAACCATGTAGTGTCTCCTTGCTCTGTTCTAACGACTGCCTCTTGGTCCAAGTATAGGTTTTGCATTAGTACAATCAAATGTTCTGGGATTCCCATTATTCTCAGAGTCAGCCATAGCTTGTTGTGATCCACACAGTCAAAAACCTTTGCATAGTCAATGAAGCACAGATAGACCTTTTTCTGATATTCTTTGGGTATTTAATGGCCCTCTATTTGAAAAACAGGGTGCTCTGGTGGCATAGTGCATAGAAAGTTACACTGCTTCCTCAAAGGAGGTACCTCGCTAGTGGTTTGAATCCATCCACCAGTGGTTCTGCAGAAGAAAGATGGGCAGTTCCCTCCTATGTGATTTATATAGCCTTGGAATCCACTGGAGGGTCAGCTATGAGTCAGTTCTGACTTGACGGCAGTGAAGCAGTGTTATAGTACCAGAGGTGTGAGGCACACACAGGATTGAGAACCAAGGGGGGCTTCATTTACATCCTTTGAGTCCAGTGTCAAGCTGTCTTGAGTGGCTTTAATAGCATGTAGAGAGGGCTTTTATATTGTTTGTTTTGCCCAAAGTTTCCTTTCCTATCCAACTTTTTTATAACCAATCACAATTGCTTTATTAGGCTAATTCCATCAAATTCCTACTCTGCCTGATTACATGATATAGGTGAAAAGTATAACCAGATACTTGAGATTTTACAGGGAAATGTTAAGGTTTTTCCATCAATCAGTTTTCTTTCTTTCTTTTATTGCTGTTGATTTTAAAGAGGATCTATCTATCTATCTATGAAAAGCCCTGGTGTTGGATACAATATATGTTGGGCTGCTGGCCAAAAAGTCAGCAATTTGAAGCTACAAGCTGTTCTGAGGTGGGGGAAAGATGAGGCATTCTGTTTCTGTAAAGCTTTATAGCCTCCAAATCTCAAGGGAAGGTTGCCATGAGTCAGGAATGACTTACGGGAAGTGGATTTGGTGGTGTTAGGTGCCATCAAGTGAACTGTGACTAATAGTGAACCTGTGAACAAATGATCTGAACCCTGCCCCATCCTGCACCATCTTCATGATCTCTATCCTCAAGCCCATTGATAGTCACTGTGTCACTCCCTCTTGTTGACCCTCCACCCTTCCCAGCATCATGTCCCTCTCCAAGGAACAGCCCCTCCTCGCAACATGTCCAAAGTATGTGAGACAAAGCCTCATTCTTGCCTCCAAAGAGCACTCTGGCTCTACCCTCTCCAAGACATATCTATTTGTTCTCTTGGCTGTC